TAAATTATCTTTACTTGACGAGGAGAATGTGTTTGGAATTCTTCAATCCTTATTTAAGCAAAAAATCCACGCTCTTCACTACGGCTAGACTGAAACTTCGAATCCCCATTCAAATACACTGCTTTGGAGATGGCGAAGCTAAAATTTTGTGATAGCATTTCTGAAAGTCTTTGCAACTTCCCTTGCCCAGGATGACTTCGACAATGGACCCTCGGCACTAGCAGCTGCGCGTGCGGAGACCGCATCGGTGCTCACAGAACTGGCTAATCAACAAGCGGAGTGCGCGGCCCTGAGCGCGAAGCACCGACACCTGGAGAATTTGGTGCGAGAGCTTCGACGTGACAACACGGAGCTGCGCGAACAGATCGCTCGTGTCAATGACGAGGCGGAGGATGAGAATTCCCTCGCGGAAAGTGATAAACACACTCGTGCCCAATCGCTACAGGTTAGTCAGTAGTGAATTTAACGCCTTTGCTCATAAACAATTACGACTATCATTTAAAAGTAAATAACTAAAAGCATCCGGGGAATAACTTTTGTTGACTTTAGCAAATTAAAACATCATCTGGAACGTCATAACCTTATTCACAAAAGTTGTGAATTTTCGTTGTTGTGAACATACTACTTAAGAGTCAACAATTGGCCTGACGATTTGTGCCTTTCACAAAGACTCATCCCGACTTCGGCAAGCCAGACTTGTGATGCTTGACAGCTGTTCGGGATGGAGGGCTAAAAACGACGCCAAAATGATGCCGAATTTCGACACTTCTCTGAAGCCAAAAGGGAAAGTAAAACAGAGAACGAAGGATTGGGGAGCTGGGGTCTACTGGTATGGCCCTGAAATGGAATTATGGGGCCGATATGAAGAACTATGCAAGTATTAAAAACTTTACAATTGCAGTTGGACCTCAGTCCATCTTGACACAGTGTCATTTACGTGTGATGCTCTGGTACCTCAAAACTCGATTATCTCTGGGTGATTAATTTGCATTTGCTGATTTGAAATGCAAAACGCAGTTTCAGGAAAGAGCGCTTAGTGATATCAGCTTCACCACATCGGTTGCGTGTGTGCAATTTCGAGGCGAGTGGGAAAGCAAGAGTAAGGGAGTTGGTTTTGTCAGGGAGAATTACCACCTAACAATCGCGCCACGTGCTGTTGTTGTGCATTGTCGCGTTGACTTCAAACTCCTCGTTTCTACAAGAAATCGTTATTGCAGACCTGAGATTGTGGAAGAACTGGACGCGAGGTGTTTAATAGAGGAGTCTTCCACTACTTCTTATTTTTTAGTTAGGATCTCAAAGTATTCTGCTTTTGGTGACAAGCTTAGCTGCCTAAGCTGTCACCCTCAGGTAGAGGATTGTTATTAGCACTACGAGACTGTCATTAAGACAGAGGAGGGAATAATTTAAGTACAGGGTATGCGTCATTAGAATAGGATCGGCGTGGCCTGGGGGAGCCTCAGGCAGTCTTAGAATCAGAAGAAAGTTTAAAATGTCAGCTCCTTTAATTTCGACATCGTTCGCCATAACGCAGCCGGCGCCACAAGGAGAGATCGCGTGGCCGCGATGTCATCAGTCCATCTGGATTCTCTACCGCGTTTGGAGTTTGATTCTGGTTGGAAGCGCTAAGAGCGATAGCCTTTGGAGCATATCGGTGTTAAAAATAAGGCATCAGGGG